GATTAGTGGATTGTATACCGGTACTGGATTAGTGGATTGTATACCGGTACTGGATTAGTGGAGTGTATATCGGTACTGAATTGTATACTGGTACTGGGATAGCGGATTGTATACTGGTATTATTCGAGCAGATCGTATACCAGTGCTGAAGCAGCAGACTGTAAACCGGTACTGATGTAGTGGGTGTACCAGTATGGAGTTAACATAGTGTATGCCAGTACTAAAAGATATAAAACCTTAATATAAGAATCTTGGTGTATTAAAACCATACACATTTTTGTTGTATTTTCGGAAAGGTTAGAAAATATAACGTTTAGGTAGTTGCCATATAATATAAAATTTTCAAATTGCATTATTGCTCGTATTTCATATATATTTTTAACTTATTACTTTTATATATTGCTCATGTTATACTTTCTATACACCTCTAGAGGTGTGCCCCTCTTCTCTAGATATACAAAGAGAAGAGATATACACCTAAAGTATGTGTATATATTCATATACTTGTGGGCAAAAGTATTCCTGTTAGTCGATAGACTTTAATAATCTTCAAGAGATTGATTGGACTGTAGTTCCGCACCAATCAATTGTTGAGGGGAACAAGGGCTCTCAAGAATATTAAAATGTATTATATCGCTATAAACATTAAGCCAAGGTACAGTAGGGGGGGGGGGAGGGGTTGTGAATACTTGTACTTGTACTTTGTACAAAATCCATACTTGTATTTTGTACTGTGGCTTACAGACTATCATAGCAGGGTGGGCTCGACGCCTGGCCAGCAAAGATGCATGAATATACAACAACTCGTATTGATCACGTATAGTATAGGTCAGTGATGCCTTGACCGTGAGGTATGCCACGAGTCACTGATGCCTTGACCGTGAGGTATGCCACGAGTCACTGATGCCTTGACTGTGAGGTATGCCACGAGTCACTGATGCCTTGACTGTGAAGTATGCCACGAGTCACAGATGCCTTGACTGTGAAGTATGCCACGAGTCAATAATGCCTTGACAGTGAAGTATGCCACGAGTCAATAATGCCTTGACAGTGAAGTATGCCACGAGTCAATAATGCCTTGACAGTGAAGTATGCCACGAGTCAATAAAGTCTTGACCGTGAAGTATGCCACGAGTCAATAATGCCTCGTGACATTATTGACACGTTTCGTGGCATACCTTGACCGTGAGGTATGCTACCGAGCCACTAATACCTCACCCATAAGGTATGCCAGAAGTCACTAATGCCTTGCCCTTGAAGCATGCACGTCATTACCCAACAATCTCACGGCTCCGGCGCTACAACCACGCTCACATTTGCAATCAATAGACTAAATTATTTACAATTACCGGCGTGACCCGGTCAGCCGTCTACCCGGACTCTGAGGCACGCAGCCAACCATCAGGAGAAAGCACCAAGCCAGTACGACTACCTAGCACTGGGAAGGGGCCAGGATAAACATTTGGGATGGGACGGGGGATAGGGAATGGTGCCCAACCACTTGGACGGTCGGGGGTTGAACGTAGACCTGCATGAAGCGAGACCGTCGCTCTACCGTTCAGCCCGAGTGGTTGGGGACCCGGATTCAGAGAGATACAGAATATTTCCAAGGAAGTGTATTAGCTCACTGCCTCAGTATCGTGAGCAACTGTCGAGAAGATGAAGGTGGTCCTGGAGGCCCCTCTGTCAGATCTGTCAGCTGATGGACACGTTGTAATATGAATTTGAAAAGCAACATTCCATTTATATTAGCAGCATATTTATGTGCTCGCGTATATTGATACTTAGGTTCACTCACAGGCAGATAGACACTTACATAAATATATATATGTACAAAAACACTCGCTCACATTATATATAATATGTCATTGAACACAGCAGCATTGTGACTATTATTAATTTCTGTTTGGATATTATCTATTCCACGCAAATATCTTCTACCATCTGGAGGGTGAAGAAACACTGGATCACTTAATCTTTCCATTTGTATTGTTCGACGTCTGGTCAGCAATGTGGCGTCTTCAAGAGTACATTGTTGGACTGACACAGCTGTACTGACCTTACACGATTGATTGATTGATGAAGATCAAGGCACCCAAGAGGTGGCACGGACATGAATAACCCTTAAGTGGTAGATGTTTTGGTGTGAATGTGATCTGTGTTCGTGAAAGGATATGCTGTGTGCTGAACTTGCATTTAAATCGTCAGTCCTTACTATGTGGCTGCTACCGCGGGGGAGGATACTGCTTGACAGTATTTATGAAGGTGTCCAGCTGCTGGACACCTTTCATTACCAGAAGAGTGGCTGTGTTGAGGGCTTCAGGGTGGTTACTGCAAGATTCAGGGACTCTTAAAGCTCTTCTAAGGTTGTTGGTTGCTGCACATTCAAGGAGAGTGAAGTAATGGCTTTTCTGTCATTGTTTGGCAGAAGATGCACTCCCGCTCTCAGGGTTCACCAATCACCCACTTGCATCTGTAACCTAGACGTAGTCTATATAACCGAACTGCTATTTCCCTGTGGATACCTTTCGGGATATTTAACCTGCCTAACTTGGTGGCCTAAAGATACCATATTGCAGAGGGCGAATCTTCAGCTACTTTCTGGAGAAGATGGCCTTTGTTGAGGTGTGAGAGTTTTTATGGTGATGGTGTTTTAACTGTAGTCTGTTTAGGAGTTGTCTCGCTCTGGCAACCCAAGAGTTACCAGTGTTTTGGCCAAGTCCAACCACCAAGGCCTGCCGTACTGGGACTGGATAATGGGAAACAATTATCTTACTGGTAATCGTATCTGTTCTTTGAGATATTCATTCTTGAAGAGAGGATAAACCGGTTTCCAATATTAGTTTCAAGCCTGGTCCATAAATGGGCTACCAGGGCAGCTCTCATAGAATTGTGTTGTGCTACTTCAAACTATTCAGAGACTATTTGTACTCAGTGACTGTGCCATGAAGTTTTACTCTTGCTTCTCTGTTTATGAGACACTTTTTGGTCCAGAGGAGCATGTTGCCATTGACCTGTTTGTCGTTGATGCAGCAGAGAATAGCTGGGGCGCTAGCCAGTTCTAAGGCTTTCTCGAGGTCCAGGAATATCAGTACTCCTGGTCTGCCATTCAGGTTAGCTAACAGATAATGCATTCCATTGCACTAACCCATTTTCTATAAGCTATCAAGGAAAAATCTAAACGTTTATAAGTGTGGGTTCACCTCACCTGCGATAGGGCGAGGTGATTGTTGCCTGACTCCGGCTTCTAGTTGTCCGCCAGGTCTTACATCTTCGTATATTTGTATCCATGGAGGACCATCGACCGGCTGTACGCTCGAAGTCTAATCCCACCAAACACACACCGAAACTACGACGTTGGTACAACGTTCGAACAAGTTTTAACACTTCCTAACCAGTTATAACAACCAATATAGCAAGTTGTAACAACGTTCTAATACGTCATAAACACGTTAAGCCAAGATGTAACAACTTTATTACAAGTTGTAACAAGCGGAAAATAGAGACAGTTTTGGTTTGTGTTTCCAGGGATTCATCTGAATGTTAAGTACTGGTGTCAGCTCCCGAAGGAACACAGCCTTAAAGCATATGAAGCCTCCCACGATCGTCGGTGTGTGTGATTATTGTCGTATCTGTCCCTACGTCTTGGTGATTCAGGACGGTGTTGTGGTGTTGATAATGATGTTAATGACTGACTTTGTTAGAAACAATCCTCGTAATGATAATTGTGTCATTTGCAAAATAACTTGTAAAGACTGTAAGAGGTTCTATGTTGGGTAAACATACAAAGATTTGAAATTTAGAATTTCGCAACATAAATACTCTGTAAGACATGGACAATTGTCTAATGCTTTGTTTGTTCATTTGTCAGAAAGTTCTCACCAAATTTATTGGGAGATGGCCTCTTCAATAACGAATTGTAAAAGCATTTTCAATAGGAACCTTATTGAATCTCCTTTAATACAGATTACATAACCATATAATTTCAACATTAGCAGTGGTTTGTATAATTTAGATCCATTTTTGATTGATCAGTTAGAGGGTAATTTGAATAGGATCATTGATATTCATTTTTATATCACTAATATCTTATTACTATCCCATTATCTCATTCAAGACATTGTACCTCACCTCACCTCCGTCCTGCATATATATCCACACCCACTGAACAGTAAATCCATAATATATATATATATATATATATATATATATATATATATATATATATATATATATATATATATATATATATATATATATATATATACTGTGTGTCTATATACATATTTTAACAATAAGCAATTTTGTTATTGCGATAGAATACAGTAATTAGTTAGTGAAACAATTATTTAAGTTGATGAGTTCACTGATCAATAATACAATGGGTCAAGGTACATACTCACACCAGCAGGTGGGTAATACAGAGTGTTACATACACACTTGTATCAAGATTATGACACATACAGACACTTCTCTCCACCACACATACATATCAACCACACTGACTCACGTATCAACCCCACATTTCCTCAAACAATCATCCTTATTCACTACCAGTTTATTGACAGTCGAGAGGCGGGACCAAAGAGCCAAAGCTCAACCCCCACAAGCACAACTAAGTGAGTACAAGTGACCCAAGTAATTACCCCATCCCCGTATAATATTGGTAGACACGTTAAACATGGATAAAATCCACGATCAAAACTACACAATTAGTCTGGATTTAGTGTGAATAAAGTAGAGCACTGATTGGTGGAGCGGCATAAGGCCCTCAGCGTCTCTCTCTCCCAGGTGACGATCACACTTAAAGAAAACCCAAACCATTTCGAGACGAGGCAAAGTAAACATAAAATTAAAAATATTTAATAAAAACTTTATAAAGTAAAAATTCTAATAATATTTAATAAAAAATTATATTAAAAATATTTAACAATATTTAACAACTTTGAAATATTGAAAACAAATTAATATGAGAAAAAGAAGCAGAAATTAGAACTCACTTCTATGGGTAGCAGGTGGAGCTGGAGGTGGCAGTGGCAGCAGTGGCAGGTGGAGCCGGAGGTGGCAGTGGCAGCAGTGGCAGGTGGGTGATGGAGGTGGCAGCGGGCGGTGTTGGTAGAGTGTTGCCCTGGCTACCGTCCGTCGCTCTCTGACACCTCTGGTCCAGTTACCCCTCCGCCTCTTACACACCACCGTTTTCTACGCCCTGGCGCTCCATTCATTATTCCCTCTTTCAAGATTTCATGAGAATAACGTGTATCTTTTATTCTATACCACGAATCTGTATATTTTAACATTAATTAGTTTTAAATAGAATAGTCTGAGGAATCTTCAAACGCATCAACAATTCACATTTACAATTAGCCGTAAGAGAGGGGCACAGACCACTAGAGAACATGTAAACTGTATGTATTATATACTAAAAGTGCTTTGCTAGAGAACTGATGTCAACTTTTTTATGTGAATGTCCGACTGCCTCACTTGCTTAGTCAATATTTGGCTTATGAATAAGTACATATGTGATTTACTAATTTATTGTGAACTAGCTGTACCCGGCCACGCGTTTCTGTGGCTCAGCAACGCACATGCTGAGCCACAGCAACCTTCCCCTGTCCCCCAGTCCTTCTCACCATTCCCCACTCTACCATCACCTCTTCCTTCCCACCATGCCTCACTCCCCTGTCCCTATGTCCTCCCACCGTTCTCCATTCCCCCATCCCCTCGTTCCCACCATCCCCAACTCCCCCCCCCCCCCCACGTCCTCTCGTCCTTCCCCACCATTACCCCCTCCCTTGTCCCCTCGTCCTCCCCACCATCACTCATTTCCGTTCCCTCATCCTCCCCACTCCCTCGTACGATGCCTTCCCAAATGGTCTGATGTTCCCATCAGAAAATTGGGAACATCAAGTGATCTGATGTTCCCATCACTGAAATATAAGAAAAACAGTTAAAAAATTAAATGAAAATATAAAAAAAATATATAAATAAACTATACTCACGAAATGAACGGTATGGTAAACAACACAGTTCAATTCTAACGCAATTCACACAAAATAATTAAATCAAAATTAAAATAAATCAAAATCTATGAAAATTTAATTTATCAATGCAATCAAAAACACTGAAATGGAATTGTAACATATTTAGTATAGCATGTGTGTTGCTCTTACATGCAACAGATGGCGCTGTTTTTCAAGAAAAGCATAGTTTTACCTGTCACAGGTGTGGCATCTATACTTATACTTACGAAATGAACGGTATGATAAACAACACAGCTCAATTCCAACACAATGTCACACAAAATTATTCAATAACAAATAAAATAAATCAAAATCTATGAAAATAAAATTTATCAATGCAATCGAAAACATTGAAATGGAATTCGTGACATATTTAGTATAGCGTGCATGTTGCTATTATGTGCAACAAATGGCGCTGTTTAAAAAAAAAACGCATGTATGTACCTGTCACAGGGGAGGCATCTATATAGTAGGTATATAAAAAGACGCGCCTATTCGAATGGAAAATTGTGTGAAAATTTCAAAGCAATCGGTGAAGAACTTTTAGAGATTACAGCGTGCGTTGCTCTTACGTCCAACAGATGGTGCTATTTTTCAAAAACATGTATTTTCCTGTCACAGGTGAGGCAAGTATATAGTAGATATATAAAAAGACGCGCCTATTCGAATGGAAAATGTGTGAAAATTTCAAAGCAATCGGTGAAGAACTTTTAGAGATTAGCGATTATACACAAACGAACATTTCCATTTATATTGATATAGATATTTGAGTTTACCTGAAAAGCTGAATAGAAAACCACGATCTCCCATAACCTCCTTAGTATGTTAAGATAAGCATTTTATTGCTTCTAAATTACAATTAGTACTTAACCAATACCTATATTGATATTACAGTTTTATAAAAATAATAAAACAAAACTAAAATATTTAAATAAATTGTAAAGTAACTTAGAATATTGTCAAATTTAGTATAAAATCAATTGTTTAATAAAACTGAAAAGGAAATTCTTAATATTTAAAACTTGTGTAAATTATAAGGGGAGGATGAGTTAGTGTTCTGAAAAAAAATGTTACTTGGATTATAACACATATGTACTTATTTTTAAGCAAAATATTGACTGTAAGCGACAAGTCAATTTGTCCTGTCTTGTGCGAGAGCGGGTGGGCCTCGTTCTACCACCGGTTAAACCTTTCTCAAACTTTAATCCTTTCCCAAACTATCGGACGCAACCACTTGGGCTGGGCGATAGAACTACGGTTTCGCTTCATGCAGGCCGACGTTCAATTCCCTACCATCCATACGTGGTTGGGCACCATTCCTTGCTCGCGTCCCATCCCAAATGTTTATCCTGACCCCTTCCCAGTGCTATATAGTCTTTCTTGGCTTGGCCTGGAAAGGCTTGGCGCTTTTCCCTGATAATTACCTTCTTCCCAAACTGCCAATGAGTTACACACAAACTCGATTTCTATATAATCTTCAACGCAATTAGTTTATAAGGATGAACAACAAATGTCGAAGGATATTTTGTATTTATGTATAATTAGTCATTGGACCATTTCTAAAGTTTAACGTCGAACTTCATCTATAATTTGTCATGGACTATATCTATACTTTACTATATAAATTCTGTAATTTACCATTGGCCAATTAACATCTTTAATTTACCATTGGACGTAATATTAATTCAGTTGATGTTTATTATACTTCAATCAGAGAAGAACAAGGTAGTAAGTAATATTATTAGCCTCTCGACTGCGTGAATTCATTTTCAGAAATAAAAACAACCAATTGTTCGTTATTGTAAATACAGAATGACAGGAAAATTCCCTGGAATACCGGTGCTCAATATTCCACGTGCAACAACAACTTCGTGCTTGACTTCTCGACGTTTATTGAAGATTGATAACATTAAACTAGCATTACAGACGTGCCCCTCAAGCATCAAAAGATATCCAAAGATATGAGATATCGCAACTCGACGTTAAAAGCACGATATCTGTCAACGTGTCAGCCTAAGTTACTCTATCTCTTTGAGGTGTGTTTTTTTCTTGTCTTAATAAACATACTTGAACTTGAACCATACATAAGCTTGAATAGTCTAACTTTACTTAATCTAACATATCCTAACCAAACTGAACATAACTAACCTAACTTGACTAAGCACAACGAATCTTAGCACTGTATATTAGACCAGAAAAGACGGAAACAATGTAGGTATTGAATATAGCGTTTGATACTATGATTACCCATAGGTGAATGTATAGGCTTCGATCATATTATCCCGGGAGATCCAGTAGCATCTTAAAACGTTGTTCTTAATATCAAATTCGAATCCTAGTAACTGAACGAAGCTTAAAAAACTAAATCTAATCCTCAACAACATTCAATGTTTCACCGTGCACAATATCTATGCTAGTGCGGTCCTCAGTAATAGATATTAAAGCTTTAGAAACACCTGACTCGTGCCGTTTAACACTAATACCTGAATCTTGTCGTTTAACACTAAAATCACTTTATTCATGTCGACTAACATTAACAAAAGCTGGCGTGGCGTGTCATTCAACACTACAAACATGATAATATTCGTAGTAAAACTCCGTCATGATGAAAGTACTCCACTTTCACGGTGTAAAGTTGACGAAGATAATAAATTTGGCAGTAAATACGCGCGAAGACTTGAATGGCTTTACGTTTTTGGCGGGAGTGGTCTGAGGCTGCCTCATCACCTCACACCAAACCCCCCATCCACCAGCCAGTGTAATCCGCACTCTGGAAATAAATTTTTACTTTCAATCCCCATCTTCAGATATCTTTTTGTTCCAGTGGTGTACTTAAATAGAGAGTTGTGACGTCGCTTTTTTTTTTTTTTGCAGGGATATTCCTGCGCGGGCCCTAAGCCTCTGGCTGGCCCTCTAAGTGTTGCTTGTTTCTGTTTTACTTGGGCGGAGTATGAGTATTTATGACTCGTATGGTCGCTTCAGTAAGATTTTGCCGTATGTGTTTAACAACTTCTTCTGCTCTGTTGAATCTAAGTTGAAATCTTAATGGGTTTGCAACTGTGCACTGTGTTAGATAATGTTCCAGTGGTCTGTCGGGCATTTCTTCACAGTGTTGACATTTCCTCTCATCTTCCGGAACCTGTAAGCCTATTTCCCATGCATAAGGGTATCCAAGCCTGATGCGATGTAAGTGTACTTCTGTTGTTCTACTGCTCCCTTTCGTCAAACTAAGTGGTTCGTAGTTGGTTGAATTCTTGTACCAACCCGCAGATCCTGATGTTGCAACTGCTGTGTTGTGGTCACTGTACATCTTTTGCATTGCTCTGTTCCTAATTACTTTCTTAATCTGTGATAGACTCTGTGGTATGTATATGCCTACATTTCTTCTCATAGTTGCAAGTTTTGCAGGTTCGTCTGCAAAGTCATTTCCTATTAGTCCCACATGACTTGGCACCCAGTTGATAAGTACTCGTCGGCCTTGTCGTTTGAGTGTTTGCATGAATGATATGACATTTGTGATCAGATGGATGTTATCACATATGTGTTCTTGTTGCAAGGTTTCAATGGCGGTTCTCGAATCTGTATGTATGATAACATGTTGTCGGTGTTCAGCAAGAGCATGTTCCAAAGCCTTTTGAATGGCTAGCATCTCTGTAAAGTGAGTGACGTCGCTGTTACCACTTGATTAAGAGATGTAATTAAGCAACAAATTTAAGAAGAGTCATGGATTATCGCATAAAATATCCGTGTGTCTGAGTGATTTACAGTCAGTCCTTCTGGATACTTGTTAGTTCTGCATGGTTGTTAGTTCTGCATGGTTGTCAGTTCTACATGGTTGTTAGTTCTGCATGGTTGTTAGTTCTGCATGGTTGTTAGTTCTGCATGGTTGTTAGTTCTGCATGGTTGTTAGTTCTGCATGGTTGTTAGTTCTGCATGGTTGTTAGTTCTGCATGGCTGTTAGTTCTACATGGTTGTTACTTCTGCATGGTTGTTAGTTCTACATGGTTGTTAGTTCTACATGGTTGTTACTTCTGCATGGTTGTTAGTTCTACATGGTTGTTAGTTCTACATGGTTGTTACTTCTGCATGGTTGTTAGTTCTACATGGTTGTTAGTTCTGC